TGTGTGTGTGTGTGATAGTAAAATAGCAAGAAAGGATAAGGGTGGAGATGGACTTTGACTGATAAACCTGATCTTTCTCATGATAAGAGCGGATATTTACATTTTTTTATGATGACACACAGACTCTTCTAAACAAGACATGTGCCAGCATGTGCAAGACCATCTGTGTTTGTCTGAATCTACATTTAAAGGGATAGTTCACCCAAAATGAAAGTAATAATTTACTCACCCTCAAGTTGTTCCAAACCTGTACGAGTTTCTCTGTTCTGTTGAGCACAGAAGAAGATATTTTGATATTTTTGTAACCAAACAGTTGCTGGTAGTCATTAGCTTCTGTAGAATGAAAAAAAAACAAATACAATGGAAGTCAATGGCTACCAGCAACTGTTTGGTTACCAACATTTAAACTTATCTTCTTTTGTGTTCAACAAAAAAATGAAATTCAGATTTGGAACATGATGGTGAGTAAATGATGACAAACCTTTCATTTTGGGGTGAACTATTCCTTTAAGACCATATTATATTTCTGATAGATTCATAGCATCAAAATTTGATTCTTCATCAGCAGCAAATCTAGACTTTTATACTTTGTGTCTGTTTATGGTGCCCAGAGTTAAAGTTTTATTGCTCTTTCATCTCTCAGGAGATTTAATGGAATTACCAGTTACACATTCAGGTCTCATGTTTCTCATAAAATTCCTTGGGAGAAATAAAAATAGAAACATGTCTTATATATATAGGTATAAAATGATTATGGATGGCATATCATAGATAAGTAGTAGATTTTGATATATTTCATATTAATCATATCTCCAACTTTTGTTTGCAGAGTTTGTGGGATCTTTGCTTAATTTGCTCTCCATTTCATCTCTTTGCTGTCTAGGAAAAACGATTGAGAGATTTCATTACAGATTTTGCTTTGATTTTAATACTTGGCTGTCCAGCCAATAAATGCTGCCTATAGGCCACGCACACGTGATCTAGGAGCCAGTCATAGCGTGAGATCCTTGCCTCGCAATGTATTGCCATAGAGACTGTGAACTCTTGATTCAGTGACAGTCAATTAGTCCCCTCTAAATGTGGCTAATTACTCTTGGGTTTAGACTTGGCCTTTTTTGACCTCTTTGGTGCAACAGTAATAAAAAACATCAGACTGTAATTAGCTCTGATATAGGTTTGACAAATGTCTAAAACAAACTATTCTACACCACTCCTAGTCATTTGTAAAAGTAAAAACACACTTATTGCAGGTCCTGCTCACATTTGTATAACAAATGTTCTCTTTTAAGAACCACATCATTTGCATCATTTGCAAAAACAGGCAGTCATGACATCACAAACACACACACACACACACGCACACGCACACGCACACACACACACTGGGGATTTAGCAGGACATTGTACCTAAATTATAGTGATATTATTATTGTATTGTACCAAGTACAATTACCAATAATATTGCCTATTTTATTCCATTGAAATACATTTGACTGTATAGCATTGATTTAAAATTTACTTACAGTATAGTAACAATGTTAATTAATTAGACACTAATTAACACCTAATTTATATAAGGCTGAGTTCAAATATTCTGGCAGCGACATTTGACACATGACAGCAGCTGGCAGTCCCATATTCTGGGACTCCTTAACAGATATTGTTTTCCTTTCATCAGGCCTTTAATTATTGATGTACAGTCACCTGTTGAGATTTCTAAAGGCAAACAAAGGCAGTGATTTTTTTTCTTGCAATCAAAGATCATTAGAACAGAAGAGATTTTACACAAGGAAAACTGACAGCTTCCTCCATAATTCATGACGGTCCAGCCTTTAAAGCTCTACATTCCACTTTGTACTTGCCCTTATGAAAATGTAACACAGTTCTTGCCTAGTATCCATAGTTTAACTAGACTATTTTGTAACAAGACTATGCAAAATCATTCATTTGTTTTATACGAAATGTATTATTTGTTATGAAAATAATGTTAAACACATTTAGTAACTATAAATTCTACTGCCATTGTTTTAATAAATTATGTTCCCTCACTCTCATAATATATTACATTTTAAATGATTCAAAGTTATTCCAATGATTTTTTTTTTTATTCTAAGGATTGTGTTGTGTGGATAAGTATGACATGGCACAGTGTTTTCTCTGTTTTTGTTCTTAGTTCAGTGTATAATGTCAGGGCTAATGAAAAGTCATGAAAAATTTATTTAATTTTACTTAATTGCTCATGTCATTCCCAACCTGTATGACTTCTTGTATAGAACACAAAACAAGATATTTGTTGCAATGTTTGTTTCTTTTTCATGTCCATACAATGAAAATTAGTAGGGTCCAAAGTTATTTTTTATCCCATTGACTTTCATTGTATAGAGACAAAACTTTGATGTATGTTTTGTATGTTGATGTATGACATTAATGATGACAGAAGTGGGGGGGGGGGGGGTTAAAGGGTCCTCTAGACTATTTTGTAACAAGACTATGCAAAATCATTCATTTGTTTTATACGAAATGTATTATTTGTTATGAAAATAATGTTAAACACATTTAGTAACTATAAATTCTACTGCCATTGTTTTAATAAATTATGTTCCCTCACTCTCATAATATATTACATTTTAAATGATTCAAAGTTATTCCAATGATTTTTTTTTTTATTCTAAGGATTGTGTTGTGTGGATAAGTATGACATGGCACAGTGTTTTCTCTGTTTTTGTTCTCAGTTCAGTGTATAATGTCAGGGCTAATGAAAAGTCATGAAAAATTTATTTAATTTTACTTAATTGCTCATGTCATTCCCAACCTGTATGACTTCTTGTATAGAACACAAAACAAGATATTTGTTGCAATGTTTGTTTCTTTTTCATGTCCATACAATGAAAATTAGTAGGGTCCAAAGTTATTTTTTATCCCATTGACTTTCATTGTATAGAGACAAAACTTTGATGTATGTTTTGTATGTTGATGTATGACATTAATGATGCCAGAAGTGGGGGGGGGGTTTAAAGGTGCCATAATGTCATTATCAACCCCATTATCAATGCTGAGAATAAAGGTTACACTTTCGGCTGGAATACAATAAGCAACTTCTGAAGCAATCTGAAACAGATATAAAATGCTAGGAATCAATGGTTACGGAGAAAACCTTGGCACCATACATTACAACTGAGGATCACACACTACTAGACTTTCAATTTCTTCAA